TTTTATAAAAAGACACAGGGAAAGAATTCATAGTGTGGATTTCTTACTGGGAATTTTAGAGTCTTCAGCATTAAACACTTTGGGCAGAAGGATTTTCCTGATGCCCTTGACCTAGAGACTATCATACTAAGTGAAGTGAGCCAGACAAAGACAAATATCATATGATATCACTTATGTGTGGAATCTAAAAAAAAAATGTTGCAAATGAACTTCTGTACAAAACAGAAATAGACCCACAGACATAGAACATAAATTTATGGTTACCAAAGGGGAAAGGGGAGGGGAGAGATAAATTAGGAGGTTGGAATTAACATATACATATTACTATGTATAAAATAGATAACCAACAAGGACCTGTAGAGCACAGGGAACTATACTCAGTGTTATGTAATAACCTATAAGGGAAAAGAATCTGAAAAAGAATATATATATATATATATACATATATATATATTCACATATATGTATACATTCTTATATATATATAATCTGAATCACTTTGCTGTACACCTAAAACTAACACAACATAAATCAACTATATTTCAACTAAAAAAAAACCCCTACTTACAGAGAGGGAGCTAGTACTTGCTCATTAGTCTTGGCACATCTTTGGATTGTAGATTGGGCAAGAGAATAATTATAGGTCTAGGAAGAACTCGATTCTGCAGCTAAATGGTTTCCTTGTTTTTTGGCAGCACACGCTGCCCATATAGTCGTGTCATCGTCTTAACAGAACACTGGTCTGTACCCATATAAGAACTCGAACAGACACTGTGTTCCATTCATGCCAAGAGTGGAATATTTTCCATTTGTTTTTGTCAAAAACTTGTTTAAAACAAATCATCCACAGGGAAGGAAATAAGAATTGGGATAATGCCATTCAAAGGCAATCAGCACATGAACCCATAGGCGTTTCTGCTATAATGTGATGTGTCTCTGAAAAACTTCACGCTCTGCCAAGTATACACTACATGGCAGGACTCACTGGGCAAACAGAGGACCAGCCATTCAACGGTCTTTGGAACGGTAGACACAGTTCTGTTGAACGTGATTATTAGCGCCGGGAAGGACAGTGCGGCTCCGTGGGCCAGCATCCCCCGTGGAACCGGAGGTTGCTGCAGCAGGGGTTAAATGCTCAGGAATGATAGAGGCCACGTGTGGCAACCCTTTCACTGAAGCAGCACAGGTGGACGTAGGGTGGACACACCAGTGCAGGGCCGTGGGCCTGCCTGTCCCTCTCTGGGAAAGGGTCCTGTGAGCAGGTACACTTATTTAATTTTCTTATGATAAATCCAGAGGTCTTCTGCCAGTGTGACCTCAAAGCTGACTTTTTTTTTTTTTTTCCTACTGATGGTTATACTTGCCTTCCTGCTATTCCCCTCCCCTTGCCTGGGAAAAGTTGTGTATAAATTATATTTACATCATTCCTCTATTGACATCATTCCTCAAGAGTGTATGAGCTATGCAGTACAGAAGCATATATAGTAGCTAAAGAGACTGCTGGTTAAAATAGCTTTTCCTAGTTATAAATGTAATTCACCCTTGTAAGGAACTTGGAAAATATAGAAAGGTACACAAAATAAAATATGAGATTATAAGAAATAACTACTGTTAAAAAAAAGAGCCATCTCCTGGTCTTTTGTCTATACATATTTGTTATACAGTTACGTTATACTATGAATATAAATTTGTGTCCTTTGTATTTATACTGTACATATTTCCCACTTTAGTAAATGTCATAAATTTGAACCATAATTTATTTAACAAAACCTCTGCTTTGGAATGATGAGGTTGTTTCACATTGTGGTAATAAACACCCTTACACGTAAATGATGCCTGTATCTTTGATTACTTCCTTAGACTAGACTGATAAGTAGGAAATTACTGGGTGTTTTAGTCCATCAGGGCTGTTATAACAAAAATACCACAGACTGGGTGGCTTAAACAGTAAATTATTTCTCACAATTCTGGAGCCTGTGAAGTCCAAGATCAAGGCACTGGCAGATTTGGTGTCTGGGGAGAACTCACTTCTGGCTCACAGACAACCATCTCACATGGTGGAAGGGTGGAGGTAGTTCTCTGTCATAAGAGCACTAATCCCATTCAAGAGGGTGGAACCCTCATGAGTTATTTACTTCCCAAAGGCCCTACCTCCAAATACCATCACATTGGGGATTAAGTTTCAACACGTGAATTTTGGGGGGATACAAGCATTCAGTCTATAGCGCTGGGCCAATATACAATACAAGAAGTATAGATACTTTTTAAAAATAATCTGATAAAAGTAAACTTTTATTTTTTGTGTGTTTTTTAAACATAAGGACTTTACTACAAGAAGAAAAATAGCCAACAGTAAATGTGGTATTGTGGCACTTTTTTATTATGGGCGTATCGTTTATTAGAATGGGAACATGTTAGCAAATCTCTTCTGTTCACAACTGTAAACACCTATGTGGTTAACTACCTCATCCAGCATATCCTGGATTGTCAGCAAATGTAGTACATTGAGTATCTATACCATGCATACAGGTTAAATCAAGCATCAAAAAATGCATGTCATGGGGCTTCCCTGGTGGCGCAGTGGTTGGGAGTCCGCCTGCCCATGCAGGGGACATGGGTTCGTGCCCCAGTCCGGGAGGATCCCACATGCCGCGGAGCGGCTGGGCCCGTGAGCCGTGGCCGCTGAGCCTGCTCGTCCGGAGCCTGTGCTCTGCAACGGGAGGGGCCACAGCAGTGAGAGGCCCGCGTACGGCAAAAAAACAAACAAACAAAAAACAACAAAAAATGCATGTCATGCGTATGCCTCTACCTCAATCTAATTCTTCTCTGTATATTTGCTGCCCTTCTCTTATCCTGTTCCGTGTCTCTCCCATGACCGTCTTATCCTTGGCTCACAATCTCCAGTGACGACTCCACTGTAAAGTTAACACTAAATGTGCCCCTAGCTCAAGCCACTCTATGGCATCAAAACTTTCTGTGGGACGTCTGAGCCAACTTGGAAGAAGGGAGAATGCACAGTCCTCTGGGACCTGCCCTTCCAATTTTGAGGTCCTCTGGGCATGAATATGTACAGAACAGTTAAAAGTACAGGCTTTGGAAGTAGAAATGTCTGGGTCTGAGCTCTGCCTTCATGGACAAGGAAATACGTGGCATCAGGAGTTCACGGCAGTTGTATCTGAAGTAGCAGGGCAGCAGTGGGGCATACTCAGACAATTGATGTTGATTGGTTTTATGTAGCTTGAAATCTTTTTCTGAGAGGAAAGGTAAAGACGGAATTTGACTGGTTTGCCTCTCAAATGAAGTGAAAATAAACTAGTATTCAATTCAGAGGATTTAATTTCTTTCCATTTCAGTTTCTAAGTAAATTAAATTAATGGGAGTTTTGAAGAAACTGCTTCTGTCAAATCTTTGGACACTTATGGGGAAAACCAAGTGAGTACAATAAAATAGAGGCAGATATATGTACTAAAGCTCTTTTCAGCAGCTGTTAAACCTGTGTCATGGGGAACTTCACTAAAGACAAGGTCTACTTCCAGTTCTTTTACTTATTTATTTTTTTAAGTTATCAGTAACTCAAAAGATGACTCTCTTCCTCTCTTTGCAGCCAGCATATGTCCCAAGAAAGCTAATCCCAGTAACAATCATCAAGCAAGGTAATTTGTATGCGTCTGCTCTGGATATGTGTTTAGAACTATTTTAATATACTTTTTAAACTGAGATAATTAAACATAGCACATATTTTTTCAATTTTTCTGATTATTTTTCTGAAAAAGTTTGAAGAAATCAGTCTAGTAAATTAGAAGTTGACAGACACTTTTGACTCTTGTACTGTTAGGCCAGGTCTTGGCAAAGCACATTGGCTGGACAACAAGGGACAGAGCAACCCTAACAAGCATTAAGTTTTAAAAAGCCAATTAAATATATGTGGCTTTCTTCAGGATTAAGATAGCTTACATGTAGAAAATCATTAATAGGATATTTGGATTAATGAAATGATAACTATGATATAGAGGTCACTTTAAGGAAAGTAAAGAAATCCAGGTTTTAAGAGTTATGTTTTATTTCAGCATCCACTCATTTTTGTTTTGACTTTCAGTTTTTCAAGTTATTTAAATGACTCCATTATTTCCAGAAAGTTTCTTGGTGGAAGAGATTGAGCACTTAAAATAGTTATTCATTTTAAGGAAACACAATGTCCCAAGTGTATTCTCAAAACAGTGTCAGTCAGTATTGGAATTATCCAAAGATTCTTTGCTCTGAAAATGTACATTTCCTGAATGTCTTTATTTACTGAGTCAGTCTTTGCCTCATTTTGTGCTAGTTCTTTAACTTGGGTAGGCTGCAGAGAATAGAGCTGAGAAAGGAAATTTTTAGCTAATTAGAATGGAACACTTTCATTACTTAAAGGCACAGGAATTAAGATAAGATGTGCCTTCTAGACCTTTCGTTGCCTGTGTTGCCAGCCCAATGAGTTCCTTTCTATTAATTAAAAAGTTAGATCAGGGTTTCTCCAGTGCAGATGGTGTCATGTTATTAGCTTCTTTCTGCTTCCTGACTATTTTTTTTCCATTCACACTGTTATCTTTTGGTATTTCAACAGTGATTCAGAATGTTACTCACAGGGCCTCAACTAAATCCCCAGAAAAGACTCCCTATGGAGGAACAATACTGGGTGAGTCTATCTTGAAATCTACACCTACATTAGTCAAGTCAGGCTCTTTTTTTTGATAATAAGGCCTTATGGAATTTTGCACTGTGAGCAGGTCTGTTAAATTGATGTTCGCTCATTTACTTTCAGTATTTAGCATCCTGGCTTGTGACCATTCCAGGCTAGGATCCAAGAGATGCTACCCCTATCCTAGTGTGTTAGAGAAACAACACTTGCTTGTGCCTATTGGGCATGATGGCTCCCCTCCTGCCTACCCCACAGGGCTGTTGCTGTTATGAGGGAGTCTCTGTCATACTGAATTACTCTTTTAAAAGTTATTATTAATAATGGTGTTTGTTCACACATTTTAAGCAACCATTTTACAATTTTTGAGTCTATGAATTAAAAGCCAGAATATTCTGGTTGTTCAGTTCTGAATATGAAAAAGTTTCTGCATAAAAGTTACTGTCATATTTTTTCCAACATTTTAAAGTTGGGGTTAAATTGACTAAGCAAAATAAGCACTAAACTTCATGGTTTCTAATGCTCTGAACTTTGTGATGGGATGCATTTTCTTTTACTTCTGTTTTCTTTCAGTCCACCTTGTTATTCCAGGTCTTAATGAAACCACCATAAAACTTCCTACCTCCATAATGTTTGAGATTTCGGATGCAATCAAGACACAGTTAGGTAAGCAGCAAAGATCTATATGTGAACTTTGCAGTGACAGTACTAGCAGTGATATTCCTAGGATATCCAAGGGATCTAGCAAATGAGCTGTTTGGGGATCTGAGAGTAAAAACTAAGGGACAGGCACGTGCACTGTTGATGGGAATATAAAATGGTACAATTGCTGTGGAAAAAAGTATGACAATTCCTCAAAAAATTAAAAATAGAATTACCATATTATCCAGCAATTCCACTTCTGGGTATATAACCAAAAGAGCTGGGTGGGGAAAAGGTCTTAAAGAGATATTTGTACGCTCATATTCATAGTAGCATTATTCACAATAACTAAAATGTGGAAACAATCCAAGTATCCATCAACAGATGAATTGATAAACATAATGTGGTATATATATACAATGAAATATTATTCTGCCTTAAAAAGGAAGGAAATTCTCACATTTGCTATAGTATAAATGGACCTTGAGGACATAATGCTAAGTGTAATAAGCCTATCACAAAAGACAAAATGACTGTGTGATTCCACTTATATGATGTACCTAGAGTAGTCAGATTCACAGAGACAGAAAGTAGAATGGTGGCTGCCAGAGACTGGAGAAGGAGGAAAATGGGGAATTAGTGTTTAATGGTACGGAGTTTCAGTTTTACAAGATAAGGAGAGTTCTGGAGATGCATGGTGGTGATGGTAGAACAACATTATGAATGTATTTAATACTACTGAACTGTATACTTGAAAAATGATTAAGATTGTAAAATTTTTGTTACGTATCTTTTACACGATAAAAAAAAATTGGAAAAAAAGTAAAGGGTAGATAGGATGGAGTGTGGGAGTTATTCGTATAAATCACATTCTATAGGGAAATAGTTATTTTATATTTATGAAAGAAGAGTGAATGATCAAATTAACCAAAATATACACATTTATACAGGTATAATTTTCAAATGGAGTCATTGTTATAAATTACACTTATTATACTATACTATCAAGGGGCCACTAGAGGTCTTCAGTGGTATCTGAGCTAAGGGTCAGGTCTGTTAGAATTATTATTTACTTTGAGATTGATACTGCTTCCTACTTCTAGAAAGCACCTGATATGATTTTAGTGTTTAAAAAACATAAAACATAACAATTTGGGGAAAAAAGCAGCAAAATTCTGTAAAAGGAGTCCAGGAAACAATTGGGGTGGCCAGTGGGCTAAGCTAGTTGCTGCATTTGAGTATCACATTAGTCTGAATTCTCTCTATAGCAGAGAATCTCACCCTTGATGAAGCATCGGAAGCCGTGGTGGGCTTGTTACACCCAGGCTGCTGGGCTCACCCCCAGGATACTGATTCCGTAGGTCTCGGGTGGGGCCTGAGAATTTGCATTTCTACCCAGTACTCAGGTGATACTGGTGCTGCTGGTCTGGAAGCCACACTTTGAGAACCACCCCTGTAAAGTCTCTGGAGAATGTCTTGGGCCACTGATAAATATGGAAGAAGGTGGCATGATGTGGTGGAAATTGAACAAGACTTAAAAATGTAGAATATTTTTCTTGAACTAGGCAATGGCTAAGAACTTCAGCGCTTATATACTTGAATCTTCACATTTTATGGGTGTGGAAACAGGCCCAAGCCCCTGTTTGGCAACATTTATTCAACAAATATTTATTAAGCATTACTCGGGGCCAGAACTGCAAGTGGCTCGGGACATAATTGTGGTTTACACAGACACGGGACCCACCCACACAGGAACCTCAGACTTAATTTCTCCTCCCTCATTGGAGGTCTGACCTGTTTGCTTGTTTGATGTTAAGCAATCAGATTGTAACAGTTCTAAAAGGTAAACCTTTACGTCCTCCTTAACTGTTAGTTTGAGAACTTCCTGGAAGAAGGAGGAGCAAAGCCTTAATAAGTGGGTAGAAAAGCATAATTAGTGGACTTAGAATTTTGGAAAAATTTTCAAAATCTATGCATCACCATTTTATTAAGATATGAACATATTTGCCCATAAATCTTTGTGATTTTGTGCAGTTGTTACATTTTTACTGTAAAAAATTCATACCTGTTAGTCCTATGGTGAGTTACTTCCAAGAATGTAGACAAGTGATTCTAGGCTTTATTTCCTTAATTTGTGCATCATGGCATTGCTGCACATGGCATTATTTTGTTCTTTTTTATGGCTGAGTAATATTCCATTGTATATATATATAATATATACCACATTTTCTTTATCCATTCCTCTGTTGATGGACATTTAGGTTGCTTCCATGTCCTGGCTATTGTAAATAGTGCTGCAATGAACATTGGGGTGCCTGTATCTTTTCAAATTCTGGTTTTCTTCATGTATATGCCTAGGAGTGGGATTGCTGGGTCATATGGTAGTTCTACTTTTAGTTCTTTAAGGGACCTCCATATTGTTCTCAATAGTGGCTGTACCAGTTTACATTCCCACCCTCAGTGTAGTAGGGTTCCCTTTTCTCCACACCCTCTCCAGCATTTATTGTTTGTAGATTGTTTGACGATGGCCATTCTGACAGGTGTGACTGATACCTCATTGTAGTTTTAATTTGCATTTCTCTAATAATTAGTGATGTCAAGCATCATTTCATGTGTTTTTTGGCCATCTGTATGTCGTCTTTGGAGAAATGTCACTGTTGAACTGAAATGTGTTTTGTTCCTTAGTTCTTGGTTTTAAGGACTATTTCCTAAATTTTTTGTTTTGTTTTGTTTTTCCAAAGTTCCACCTGCCATCTTAATATCAGTTCAAGCTTTTCATTTTCTTTAATTTAGAGAATTAAACAGTTGATTTTTTGGTTTGCTTTGCTTTTTGCTTTTGTTATTCTGATACGAATCACTAAAACTTCAGGATTAAGTGTGATTTTAATGAAGACAAATTAAAATGCAAATAGTAAATGTATTTTAAAACTTATTTCTAGGGAAGCACCTATCTTAAATTTAATACATGGTGAATTTCTTACACATTGAAGAGACTGATAGGCAGTACGTTTGAAGATGTCCAGTAAACCCATCAAATGTACCATTTTAGACTATGTTACAAACTACATTTTAGATTTACTGGTTTTTATGAAGAGTGTGAGCATAAGCAGTTCTTTATACCAATGAAGGAGAAATAAACTTTCCTGAAGTTATTTATCACTGCAATTCAGAAAAGTCCTACTGTGTAAGGGGTTAAATCCTAAAAATAATATCCTCATTCCAGCAGGACCTAATGTGGGACGTCAAGAAACTAATAGCTTTTGTTCTAAGAACACATGGTATGAATAATGAGAGAAATAAACAAGAAAGCTAGTAATACACACACCTCCCAGGGACATGAAAAGGGTTTGCCAAAGCCAAGACTTAACCTGCCAATAATGAAAGGAAACAACTGTGTTGAAAAACGGTAAGAAGAATCAGAGAGGAAAAGGAATTTCCTGGGGTTTAGGCCGTGTTCTAATGGCATTTTACTCTGCTGTTGCCAAGACCAGTTGTACATAGATAGTGTAGGTGAGTGCTCATTGGCTTGATAGGAGTCACAAAGAGTCCCCATTCAAGTTCTTTCCCTTCAATCAATTTCTCTCACACCTGAAGAGCCATGTTTAGAAATAGGGTATGCCTCTATAAGGAATTAGTGATGGGTAGAGAAAACAAATACCTCTTGGGAAGGTAGTTTACTGTTTTTCTTCATTAGCAGCCTAATTTTAGGTTAATGGTATTACCCCGTAAGGGCATGCATAAGGAGCTAAAGCAAAGCAATTCAGAGCGTTGCCTGAAAGTCTAGAATCTGGAGGTTAAAATAAATAAATAATTTTTTAAAATAAATAAATACACAGTCCTAGTCAGCCAGGGAAACACCAAGAGTGTAGGATATTACACAGGAGGGAAAGGATTAGCAAAAATAATCCTGAAGGAGAAGAGGACACTGAAAAAGGAGAGATCATTGGAAAAAATTACATTAAAAAAAAAACTTCCTGTGGTACATGCTGAAAATAACAGGACTAGAGCTCATCAAAATTTGTAATCTGAACATTTTTTCCTGTGCTAACACTCACAGTGGTTCTAAACCAAAGCTGTGACTACAAAAGAAGAAGGAAAAAGAATGTTGATGAGATTTAGAAATCTAAAAAATAGAATTTATCATAAAATTATACTGGATCTGTTTATTTTTTTAGTTATTCCAGAAAGAGTCCCTTCTCTTTATGTCCTGCTAAATTAATTTGAACAGTGGTATTAAACATTTCTGTTGTACAAACATGCTGTACAGCTTCATGAGCACAGCAATTCAGAACACACACTTGACTGATAGCTATGGCAAGTACACTAGCACTTGTAACACCTATTTCTAGCATCTCAAATCACTCCTGAAAATCATAAGCTCTAGGAATCTATCATATACTTCCATAATACAGATTGAAAATTGATTTGCTTCCATGATCTTTGTGAAAGGGATGACTTTATAATTGTCTTATGCCCATCAGAAGTAAATGAATATTTTGTGCCCATGTTAACTGAAAAGAAGAAAATGGTCTTTACAACAGTGATGTGAACTATAGGAAGAAGTTACAAAATTTACATCCTCAAAGAACTTTGAGAGAACAGATTAGATCAGTAGTTCTCAACAGAGGGCAATTTTGTCCCTTCCCCAGGATATTTGGCAGTGTCTGGAGACATTTTTGGTTGTCACAGCTGTGGAAGGGTGGAATCCAGTGAGTAAAGGCCAGAGATGCTGCTAAATATCCTACATTTCACAGGAAAGACCCCCATAAAAAAAATTGTCCAGCCCAAAATGTCAGTAGTGCCAAAGCTGAGAAACCCAAGAAGTTCCTTACAGCCTTGGGACTCTTAAAAAATCCCATCTGATTATAATCAGTTCAAGGCAACATGATCAGGGTATCTCAAAGATGAATGAATTCTTCCATGCCACTAGACTGTTTCAAAATATTGTAAGTAGGTCATTGATTCAGTGTGCTAAATAGCTGAATCAAGTTAATCCTAAGTGCATCTTGGAGAATATGGAGAATATCTTAATCATTGGGCAACTCTGGTACAGAAATGTACTTTCTTTGAAAAGGAATACCTAAATTTTAGAAGAAAAGTTTCCTGAATAATTGTCAGAAGAGAAAAGAAATAGAATAAAAAAACAGACTTCATTTTTTTACACTGAATTCCCACACAGACCCAAAGAAAATATCTATGTTACCATGAGGTTCAAATAAATAACTGTTGGTATTTTTTCCTAACCACAAATATCTTCAAATAACTTAGTCTCCTATGTGTGTTTTTCATGTTTTTCTAAAACTTTAGAGCCATAGCCTATTATATTTTTTACCATGCATAATAACAGATAATTTCTATTCATTGATTAAAAAAAAATTAGGAGTAATTGAATATAAAATTCCAGGGAGTATTTGCTATGCCTTACAACCTGTGCCTTCAAGAAACTCTGTTTATGAGTCAGAATGACTTGAGAGCTATCCAGGTACTGGGTTGTGATTTTTTTCCTCATTCCAGTACCAACTTAGATCTTAAAGAATTACCTAGGGTTAATGAGAAAGAATTCTGAAGACTGTCACTACTAATACTAATCCCTGGTAGAAATGCACAATAAATTTATTGACTGCCTGGTGGGAAGGGATAAGAGCAGAATAGATTTCTTGAAATAGTCTGTTGCTTGATTGTTTTGAGGGAATTATATTTGGATACTCTATTATGAGGAAGTGAGATAAATTGTTTATTTTCTGAATTTTTTAGCTAAGAATGAAACTTTGGCGCTGCCTGCTGAATCTAAAACACCAGAGATAGAAAAAATCCCAGCACAGCCCGTAACAGGTAATGAGATCCCTAAGTTATTAACTTTGAGAAAATAAATAATGTTTTTTCAAGTAGTAACTGATTGACAAGCCTGTATGTTTTTTTCAGTGAAGAGCCAGTAGGAAATTCATTTTGATTATAAGCACACAACAGTAGGAGATTCTGGGTCTTTAATGTTTGGAAAAACAGCAGATGCAAATGAACCATTGAATTCTGTAACTGATATGTAATATGGAAGCTGTATTTTTCACTTTAAGTGAAAGTTGTTACCTCAACATTCTGAAATATTTTTATACTGAGATGTAATACCATGGTTTGGGTGCTTTCCTTTTATAAGAAGACACGAGAGCAGTTTTTCATTTCTTCACTTTCACAAGTGATTGGTTTAGCAAAATGCCATTATCCCTCATAAATCCATAGTTTAATATCTATGAAAATACCTTGGAATCATTTAGTAACAATGTCTCTTGAAGATTAACAATGCTTATGTAGAAAATACCTAATAGTTCAGTAAAAATCCTTTAAAGAATAAATGCAGTATGCATTTTCCCCAGTTTATCAACCATTACTAACAAACATTCAGCATGCCTTATGTGAATGAACTGCCCAAGTCCAGCCCACTGGGGACACGTTATTCTCTGAACTACAGAGTTATTGCCAGAGCAATACCACTTCAGAGCTCTGTGAAACAAATATCTGGCAAGAATTCCTCCAAATCTACATTTAGCAAAGTAACTCCAATCTAAAGTGAATTTTTTAACGCATAAAATTGCCATAAATTGAAATATCAGTGATATTTACCTTGTACTAAACTCTTGGACTCCTAACTAGTCCAGGGAAAATAAAGATTGGTGGGGAAATAAAATGGCTTGATTTCAAGAAACCTATTCAAGTAGAAATATTTCTGACAGAGTAAGAAGTACTTGGTCCTACCTAAAGGTGAGAAATGGACCTTCCGTCCCCCACCTTCATGGGAGTTGGAGCAAGGGTAGACTCTGATGCTGGAATAAGCTATTTGAATGAAATTCCTAGGTAGTTTTCTGATTTCAATATAATTAGCCAATACCAAGAAAAGCATTCCCAACTACACTTCTTCTCTTGGCATAGTATCTGATGGGAGAGTCAACAGAGTTCTTAGCTCTCTGCCAAACCTTCCTCAGGATTTTCCACTTCAGAAACACTTAGGCAAACACCATAATTCATTATTCAATGTCACTGTGTTTATTTCATATCCTTACCCTACAAAATTCTGGAATTGTGTAGCTCACAATTCATTCCAGATCTCAGTGATCCTGGTTCCTCAAAAACTATTTACCTGAAGGTCATCCTTACCTTTGATCTAGCACTTGAAACAACCCTGTGACTGAGCATTTGAATCCTCATAATTTGAACCCAGTTCCAAGCTTTGCATGTTGACTACAGTTTGGAAGAGAGAAGTCTTAAAAATGTAATAATTCTAAATAAATCTTTTTGACCTGGATCATTATGTTATCTGCCCATTTATTAACTTGTTTAATAAATATTTATCATGTGCTTGCTTACAATACCCCTGACTTTGTGCTAAGAAAAAAGGGCAGACCCAAAATTATGATTAAACTGATAAATGCTTCCATGGGGGTCAATTCCATGTGCTTTTTGGAACACATGGAAAGTGGACAAACCCAGAAAGGAAGGGTTGGGAGGAGGTGTCAGTTCAGACACAAGCCAGGGAGCCCTTAACATAATTAACTTGAAAAGAATTAGTCCCTGTAAGTGTCAGTTCTAATTCTAAAAGGCAACAAAAGTGCCTTATGGTCTTGAGTTGTTTCATCATTTTATCTTAATTTGTAAAGTCCTCTTTTTTACCTTCCAGTGACTCCTGAATCAGTTCCAAGAACCACTAAACCCGCTGTGTCTAGTGCGTTAGACATTTCAGAAACAATACCGGGTAATTCTAAGAACTTTTTTTCTTAAAAAAAAAAAGAACCTCCCAACCCTCATACAAAAGTAACCCAAATGCCTTGGCTTCCCATCCTCCCCACTTTCTTTCCTACCTTACTGGCAGTAGTTCATCTTCTGTTTCTCGGACCAATTCCATTAAAGGGTTAACGACATACCTTGATCCTGATGACTAATATTCTAGGCAGCTCTGGATGCTATATGCTAACTGTACACCCTTTTTACCAGTCTCTTGGGAGGTATAGAAAAACAGAATGCCAGCCTTTTAACGTACAAAGCTTGCAGGAGTGAGAGTCTTGACTATGTCTGTGCTTTCCATTTCAGTTGGCTTTTCCAAGTCTTGTGTGTACTAAACTTAAGGAGAATCCCCCAAAGTGACATGCCTTTTACTAAGAATTTCATGTCATTCAAGTTAGCTGCTTCTTGGCCCAAGAGAATCTAACCTGCTTTATTCTCTTCTCCAAAAAAAAAAAGGAGCAGCATGTACGTATTTTGTTCTGTACTTGTGATGTTGATCTTCCATGCCACACCATGGCCATTTGAACGTATACCTTCAAATTATAACTATGTAAAACTTTTTCCAGGGAAAGCCAGCTATTTCCATGAAAGGCATCAGCTGCCCAATGTACCCTCTGTTATGAGCATGCCTCACATGACATGGTTAAGCCACAGTGTCAAATCCTGACTCAGGGAGTTTCTAACTGAATTCTTCTTTATTGCAGTTCTTAGGGGAAGGACCCCCGAAACACCGCAAACTATTTTAATACCTAGGTTTGAATTGCCACTGAGCACTCTAGGTAAAAATTATTAAACACTGCAGCTTATTATTACCTTGGAAATATTATGCATACTTGAAAGAAGTCCTTAGGCTAATTCATTCAAATTTATCTCCTCACAGAAAAGAAGGGACACATGGCTTATAGAACCATAAACTCTCCAATACCAAGCCCTTAAATGTTATAAATTCTTTATTTTATAATCTAGGATCCTAAAGAGTCTTTCTCTATGACAAATCCTTTGGTAATTTTTCTTGGGGGTAGTCATATTTTGATATTATATTTGATTCTTTTAATTCAACATTATTGTGTCACTGAATAAATTATTTTCTATATTTTTCCTAAATATCTTTTTACTCAACTGTTTCTCTTGAAAGAGAAGATATATTTATGATATTTCTGCAGACTGCTTCTTAGAATTCTTAGAATTTACATGCAATATCAAAAAAGTTGTTGGGGGAACTTAAATATAAAGTCACATAGTTACTGAAATTCTATTTTTAAAAACTATTGGACAGACATTTTCTAGTTCATATGTGTTTGGTGCTTGACTTGAGTTTAAACTTAATATATCTGAGAACACACATACGCATAGCTGAAGAAATTAGGACACTTGTTTAATAAGGGTGAAAAAAAGAACCCAAACTCCTCAAATGCAGTGGCTTGATTATACAAGACAGAAAAAGAAGCTGTCTTATATTATCCATCATTGAAACACAGGAGTAAGAAATATGTACTAGTGACAGTCCCTTACCTTACCTGAGTAATTTGCATTTGTGTGTTTGTTTTTTGTTTTTGAAGCTTGAGATTTTAAAAACCTTTTCTCTTACTCACACTTCAAGCCATAACATTTCTTGTGTGTTTCATTGCAGCTCCGAAAAGGCTTCCAGAATTTCCTCAGGCAAAAACACCCTTCCCTTTTGAGAAACCTGGGGGCACCTTGGGTAATAACAGCACCTTAAATCTGGTGTTACAACGTGGGTGGTGATTGCTTAATTCTGTAGGACATGTTTACTGGATCTTATCTATGCAAACCTCAATGAACTGCTGAATTCAGTCAACTCAGCCAAACAAGTGGTTGATTTGGTTTAAAAAAAAAAAAAAAAAAAAGCCCAAAACAACTATTTCTCTGATTGGATTTTCTACAAATTCAGTAACAATTATCAATCTATTAATTCCATATATAGCCCATTTAGTTAGTTTTCCGTCCTCAAAAAGGGGAGAGTATGACACCAAACTCTAGTCTCCTTCTAGTCTCTACTCAAATGCTCTCTGAATGGGTGTATATTGATTTCTTCTTCATATGTGATAATTGGATCAGTATGTGTTTTTTATTTCAGGCTACTGGTAGCCACTTAACCACACCAGCAACCTATTTCTGTCTCTTTATCCTCTCAAAAAAATTCTCAGTGAATTCCATTTCTTTTTTGCTGTAGCTTCAAGTCAAAAGCCATGGATTGTGCCTACAAGTAAAATATCTGAAGATTCCAAAATTCTGCTGCCTCAAACTGGTAATTGCATTCTTTTTTTAAAAAATAGATTGGAGCAACAGTATGGAATAACTTCTCGTTTTTATTTTTATAGGTTGTTTAGTTGATTATCCATATACTTTGTAGTAAATGGTAAAGTTATAATCCATTCTTGATGCTTAGATGAATTTTATTTTTTTCAGTACAAAAGCAAAATACTTTTGCATTTGTTTTAAAGATCTGTGTTTTAATGTCTGGATATACAGTTAGAAGTCTGGCTAGAAGATGAACTGTGAATTGGCTCGTTGAATTTCTAGAGATCTCTTTAGTGACATGGGAGCAGTAACAAAAATAATCCCATCGTGATCTGATTTAAGAGTATGAATTTAATATTTCCCTTGCAGTTAGATATTTGCCTCTTTTTCAGTAAAATATCTAATGAACATTTGAGAGTTTACTTTGTGCAAGATATTATTACTGAAATAATAAAACATGTAAACATAAAATATGTCCAGAAATATGTAAACGTATTGTGATATAGAGGAAAGACCATAGATCTTGGCACTAATACTGGACCTTGGTTCCAATTCTGGCTTTACTACCAACCACATATTTTAGCTATTTTTCTCTACTTTCCTGGATCCTGGTTTGCTCTTTTGTAAACTATAGCAATTGGCTTTTTCTCCCGAGAATTCTTGTGTTCCAACATTAAAACTGATTGAGTGAAATAGCTTCCTTTTTAAAAAAGAGATTTTTCTCAATTAAAGAGTTTTTGCATTTACGTCTTTTCTTTGATGTCTAGTGGTCAACTAAAGAAAATATTCAGCATGTGAGAATTATAAGAAAACCTCACAAACCATTTTGTGTGATTACTTCTATGATTTTTGTTTTACTTATTTGTATTTTAATTTTGTGAACCTTCTAGTGGCGATTTTTTTGAGTACATATAATTAGTATGTAATGTAGTTAGAAGTTCATGTAATGATGTTAAACACACCCCCATTCTGTGGTATCCTCCAGAAAGGAGTCCAGCACAGGACTGGTTTGAGAAAGGATGAGAATGAGCCTACAGATACATAGATCTTTGTCAAATGACCCTTTCTCTGGTGAGTGTAATTGATTCAGATCTTAGCAAAAGATACAAGGGTGGCATCAAATGAAGTAAGCATGTCTGTTACAGTCCTCCCTAGTTTACTCACGTGGGAAAACACTTATAAGTTGGTTATAGTTGTCAGCCAATGCAGAGAAGCCTTAAATTAGGTCTTTCTAAGCCTTGATTCCCCATGTCACTGACCCTGAAATTCTAGTGCCATTACTCAATGTGGGTGCAAGAACACCTTCAGAATTCAGGTCACCTGAGTCTAAAATCCAGGCTCTGGGTGGAGTTTCATACTGAGCCTCTAGTTCTGTTAACACAGAGGCACAGCTGCACTGCAGACTGGAACAATGCTAGTCTGTGGGCGTGTGTGATGGTTTATCTGCTGCATTGTGGCCCAGCTGGCCTGACTCCCACGTCCTTTACAAGTATCACATCTTCCAAACCAAAGACTGTTGGGGCCCACTGAGTTAGCAGAACACTTAGGTCCCTTTTATCTCTCAACTTCTGGGCTGTAAGGTCACATAAGGTCTTCCTGGTTTCTCTTGAGCAGCCTCTAGAATTTTGGTGTTTATGATTATTTAAGAGCAAACTGACCAAAACCTCCAGGAAACCACTTATGAAATTTCAATACCTAGGATATGAATTATATATAAGCCTGAATTGAAGCAAGCTTTAGGGGGTAGGGAAAATATGTTTGCAGGTGAATGTTGTAGAGTTACAAAGAGACAAAGACAGATGAGATTGGAAATCCCAGTAAAAGAAAGGTTCTTTTTGCCTTAATTACAGAAAAGGAATATTCTGGTTTTGCCCGGTGGAGTATGAATAGTTGCTAATGCCGCAGGAAGCAGTTTCATTATTCAGCTGCTTCCCTCCTGCTAGGGCCACCTTAGGCTGCCAGAGAACTTCCAAAAACTGTCGACTGCCAGCCGTCTCTAGATGAAGTGTGTGGGCCTGTCATGGGCTGTAAGAGTTCAGTAGGTATGATTGCAGGCATAAGCATAAGCCACAGAAACTTCCTGGCCTGCCCTTACATCACTGAATCGTTATGACTGGGCTACTTGGTATGATGTTTGGAGAGAGAGCATTGGCGTCACCAGGGAGCTTGTTAGAAAGGCAGAATCTTGGGCTCGACTTCAAATCTGTTGAATCAGGATCTGCTTTTTAACAAGATTTCCAGGTGATTTGTGTGAGCATTAAAGTTTAAGAAGCACTGCCTTATCACTGTAGTCTGTTAATACTTCACATGGTACAGATAAGAAGCATCGAATGTGGTCAGTTAAAGGACAGGAGGCCTGAAATCAATGTAAAATTGGTCTCTTAAAGTGGGTGATTGAGTATTTCTTGTTTCTGCTAATATTTTTAACACTCCCATCTACCTCTTGTATAAATGTTCTGTGGCATCTTCCTAAAGTTAAATTTCAAATTAAAATTTATCAGATGTGTTACTTGTGATTTAAGGAGTTGGTGTATTCACACAACCCTTTTATTCATTTCAGCCTTTGGTTCTCAATTGATTTTGTGTGAATTTACACAGGCACTAAGTTTCTATTTCCTATTTAGTTTCAACATATATGATTATTGTATTTTCCAGTTACTCACATGGCTTCCTGATGCAATTATTCGAGAATTAAGAAGAGAGAGAGTCAGAGATAGTACTTGAATGCCAGTCCA